GTTGTATAAAACTGGTCTATAGTGATAGAAATAAGATCAGTGTTAGAGATTACCTGCAAAGTGGTGTGAAGGAACTTTTAGGGTTAACAAGACGTGTTTTATGTGCTGTTTGGGAGGGTTCCACACGTGTGTATGGTACCTTTAAGGTTCCATTTATTGTATATGAATTACTCCTCACTAAGATTGATTCAGATTTTTGGTTGGAAGAAATCAAATCACTATAGCAGTCATATGTCATACTGTATGTGAATAGATTATGACAGTAAAACTGTCAGGTTAAGAAACAAAACCTAACCATGTCCTGTTTAGGAGAAAGAAACTTCTGAAAATTTGGTAAGGAAGTATGAAAAATAAAGAGTTAGATAAAGAGCTATGGCCTAGGAAAATGACCAAAAAAATCAGTAATTATAATAATAGACAAGGTGGAATGTGAACATCAAACTATAATAATAGGTTATTATCATGATAAAAGAGACAATTTTTGAAGATCTAATAGTTATGGAGTTTATATGGCTCAATGGCTAAATACATAAAGCAAAAATAATGTGGCAAATGTGTCATGGTATGGGATTTCGATAAGATCTTGTAGGTAACAGTTAAGAATATAAAGAAGTTGAACAGTACATTCAATAAACTGAATTACACGTATATAGTAGTTTACATTTCCTATAATAGACTATCTTTGTTTTTTGTTTTTTTTTCTTTTTTAATGTCCAAGGAACTTTGGTCAGAGTTTATCAGATGTCCAACATACCTGACCACAAAGAAAATCTTAACAGGTGAGATTACTGCAGAAATCACCCTCAACGTGTTCTTGAATTGGAAACTTGGTAGAAGCATCAAGTTAATTCTTTTTAAAAATTTTTTTTAATGTTTATTTTTTGAGAAAGAGACAGATTGTGAGTGAGGGAAGGGCAGACAGAGAGGGGGACACAGAATCCGAAGCAGGCTCCAGGCTCTGCGTCGTCAGCACAGAGCCTGATGCGGGGTTCGAACTCAACCAACTGTGAGATCATGACCTGAGCCAAAGTTTGATGCTTAATTGACTGAATCACCCAGGCACCTCGAATTAGTTCTTTATATTTCTGGTTTTGTATTGTTGAAAAGTCTTTATGTTTTAATCCGATGCCTTTGTGTGACTGCTAGTGAAGTGAGCATAAGCAATACTGGTGTCTATAGCGGGATCGCCAACGAGAATATAAAACTTGACCTGAAAGTATAGTTGATATACCTGGTATATCGAGTATAGTTTTATATACCCTATCAAATCTCTCTAAATTTTCAGTAACCCCTTGTTAGCCATTCACTAGAACATAGGGAATTTTAAGTTAAAAGAATTTATCTATTTATTTATTACAAATGTGACTTCATTTTGTTTATTTATTTTTAATGTTTGTTTATTTTTGAGAGAGAGCAAGACAGAGTGAAAGCAGGGGAGGGGCAGAGACAGAGGGAGCCACAGAATCTGAAGCAGGCTCCAGGCTCCGAGCTGTCAGCATAGAGCCCAAAGCAGAGCTCGAACTCACAAACTGAAATCATGACTTGAGCCAAGATCAAGAGTTGGACACTTAACTGACTGAGCCACCCAGCTGCCCTTCAAGTTAAAAATTTAAAAGAAATAAGAGTACCTAGTACAGAGGGGACGTGGAAAATAGCATATTCACATGTATTGCTGATCCAAATGTGAGTTGTTACAGCCTTTTTGAAAATAATTTGGCAGCTTGTTTAACAATTAAAATTCATATTCCTTTGGCCCAGTAATCCTCCTCCTAAGACTCTATTTTTAGAAATTAAAGCACAAGTAAGGCCATATGTATAGGGATATTTATTGCAGCAATGTGCATAATGCCAACTGACTGAAAACAAAATGAATGTTAGTAGGAGAAAGGCAGGGGGGAAAAAGCCTCTACAGGTTCAAATATTATGCTTCAGGAAAAAGTGAGTTAGACTAATAGCTGTTTACTTGGAGAGATTCTCACAAAGTTTTGTTGAGTGAGAAAAGGAAGATGCAAAAAAGTATGTATAATAATTAATTTGTGTAGCCCAAAATTAAGAGAACTGTGCATATATCATGGGCTCATGCATATGAAGAAAAATAGTGAAGAATGCTTACTAGGTGGTTAAATGTTTATCTTACTGTGGGGGGTGGGGAGGGGGTATACTTGGGGAGAGAAGTTACAAAAGGAGAATTGTCTTTTAGTTGACAGAAAGCCTGTCTGTGATCATAACTATGCATTATCTGTAAAATTATGTAAATGCTAGATTTAAAAATACTAAGTAGATATTTAGAATAAAAAATGACGTATTTCTTTTCTAAAAGTGATGCTGATTTGCAAATACCTGAGCATGTCTATATGAAGTCCATAGAAACCCTTAGCAGAACAAGCATAGTAGAAAGCCAGAAAACATTTTGAACTAGAAGGGCCTAAAGTATGTCCACACACATAGACAATAAACCAGTAACCTGTGGGAGTGGTCTCTGTCGTTGGTTGGTGTTCATGGACCTTTGCGTTCCTTTGGTTGGTCATCCTTGGTACTGGCTTCCTGTTCAACCTCATAGCATAATGGCTGCATTGCTGAGATGGAGTTTGGGGCACAAATTGGTTATAATAGTGTGAGAGGAGGGTGCAGAGAGCAGAACTGTGCAAAGGAAGAAGTTTAACTTCAGTGTAGGCCTGACAAAGGCGGGGCTCAGGAGCAAGAACGGGTCAGAGTTGTTTCCTGTTGGATTGAAATGCTTCCTACACTCTGTGGTATGGACTGCCCTGGGCAGGGTGTGACCTGGGGCAAGGCGGCTCCAGAAGGAACTGACAGCTGGATGTTGCCTGTTAACCAAGCTGTAAGTCCTTCCCCAAAAGGGAGGTTATGTGGCAAATCTCCCTGTCTACTGCTCACTTTCTTAAGGAGAAAATACTTCCTGGAAGGCCTCCATCAAGACTTCCCCTGACATTTAAGTATTTGATTACACGCTGTGATGGAAACTAGTAATGACCCTTCATCTCCTTTTTTTCCACTTCTCTAATAAAGGGAATCCTGATTTTTCACTGAGTACATGGTCATTTGGAATAGTGGCTACATTTCTCAGCCTCCCTCTACATTTTAGATATGTCATTAAGTTTTGGCTGATGACGTATAAGTTGAATTGCCTTGTTTGGCTTAGAAGGAGGGGATGTGTGCTCTCTTTTCTTTCCTCCTTCCTGCTGGGTAGAATGTGGAAATAAAAGCTAGAGTTTGAGCAGCCATCTTGGATTATGAGGTAGAAGCCACATGTTGAGGATTACAAAGCAACTAGATAGAAGAACATTAGGTCCCTGATAATTATGGAAATCCCTTATATTTTCTGTGTTTCTTACCTATGGACTTTATTATGTTGGTTAAGCTATTACTACTTCTGTTTTTCTGTCAGTTATGTTAGGACCTAATCTTAACTGATACACATTTCTAATCCGTTATTGTCAGGGAGCACAGGAAACCATGATTAGTTTAGTCTAATCTTTTTGGGGTTAGAATGGATGTTGGGAGTAAGCCATGGAGATATCAATATCCAGGTAAGTACAGCAGAGGGAGAGGAGGACAAAAAGCCAAGAAGGATTTGCAGGTGATGATAATTATGATGGACCATGGAATCTTAAGTAAGTGGGAAAGTCAAATGCATGTGTGATGGGTGATGAGCATGAAGTGATAGTTCAGTGGATTGGAGGTCCTCATGGGGCTGATGACACACCGGGAAGGGAGAACTGGGCTAAATGAACTTGAGAGAAAAGAGATGGTGGCCAGAGTATAGGATGCTTAAAATGTAGATATTGGTGCTCATGCTGTTACAGGTAGTAGCAGGGCCCAGGGGAGTGGGTGACTCATATGGGGTGGGGAAAAAAAAAAGACTGTTAATGATGAAGTTAAGAATTGGAAAACCTGGGTTCTGATGAGAACATCTTGGATGCTGATGTAGTTGAATGAACTAGATGCTAATATCAGTGGGCGAGAAGGTGTAACTGGAATGTCGGTAGATAAGTCAGAAAGTAAGGGAGGCAGATCCAGAGGAGAGCATCTGTCTCAAAGAGCTCACATTGGTGGTGGAAAACGGACGAAAGATGATCTGGAAACAGCAATGTGGAAGGAAATAGCATCCTTCTTAAATTTTAAAAAGTTCTATGTAGGAAAAGATACCAGACACAAAATATAAAGAAAAAAGTAAACTGAGAAAATGTATTTATAGTACATTTTACATGCAGATGGGAGCTCTTTAATATAAAAAGAGCTCCTAAACATTAATTTGAAGAAGACAACGTGGTAGCAAAGTGGGCAAAGAATATGGAATTTTAAGTTACAGAGGAGGAAATACAGATGACCAAAGCATATGAAAAGATATTGAGGCATCAAGGTTAGTATCAGCCAAAACATTAATGAGATATCAGGATATGCCTATCATATTGTCAAGACCTAAAAATATCAATAAACTTCAAACTTGGCACGAGTGTGGGAAGACAGGCTCTGATGGCCACTGCCCATGGGATGTGGCAGATTGCCTTCAGAAGCAGCAGCCAAATGGCCGTGATGGGTCCCTTGTGTATTGTGGCTTGATGTGCTTGCCCAACACAATTATGCTTTGCACAGTGTTATTGTATTAAGTATACTTCAGTTGTAACTATAACTGTGTGATCTTTTTAAAAACCAGCTTATATTTATAAGTAAGTTCCTGTAGCCATTTTCATGGTAGCCATTTTCAAGGTATGATTTTCCTGTCTCAGGAAGCTTTAGATATGCTTTTGTTTATTCCTGTTGGTTTTAATGTATTTGTACCCCCCTTTCTTAAGTTTATGGCAAGGAGTTTTTTCATCTAGGTTAGTATAATCTGACTATAACAATCCAGTCATTTTCTCCTGGTTATACTGTGCATGAACGTACCCACTATGTTTAACTTGCATTATTTGAGAATTAAAGAAATTAATATGTGAAACTTTGATGGACTTAGATTGTTTTGTTTGTTTTTTGCATTACAGACTAACTGGATCTTCTGGGTTTGTAACAGATGGACCTGGAAATTACAAATATAAAACGAAGTGCACATGGCTCATTGAAGGACAGTAAGTAGTAATGACTGGTTAAAAAAATTTTTTTAAGAGCTCAGTGTGGCATTACTTTGATTTATAAGTAAAATTAACAACCTCTAGCAAAAAGTACCTAAAATATTTTTATTTGAAAACTTTCCATCTGACAAATTAATTTGATTTTATTAATCTTTATTGTGAATTTGAAAACAATTTTGTGTTGATTTAAAGCTGTGAATGAATTGTACACCCCAGAAGTTTGTATATTTTTAATTATAATGCTTAGAACTGTTGAATATTTTGAACGGTTTGCTTACAATATTAGAAGATTACAATATTATATCATTTTTTCTAAGTATCTATTTTTATTGTGGGCAGGAAAATAAAAATAACTTCTTCTCTCCATGGCAAATCTTTAAAGCAGTGTTTCTCAAACTTTTTGGTCTCGGGACCCCTTTACACTCTTAAATTTTGAAAATTCCAAATAACTTTTGTTTGTATGGGTTTTATCTGTGTTCATTATATTATAAATTAAAACTAAGGAAATTCCTTATTAACTCATTTAAAAGCAATAACAAACCTACTACATGTTAGCACAAAATGGCATATTTTTATGAAAAAGGAAACCCTATATTTAAAAAAAGATCAGTGAGAAGAATGGTGCCGTGTTACATTTTTTAAAAATCTCTTCGGGGCGCCTGGGTGGCTCAGTCGGTTGAGAATTTGACTTCAGCTCAGGTCATGATCTCATGTTTCTTGGGTTTGAGCCCTGCGCCAGGCTCTGTGCTGACAGCTCAGAGCCTGGAGCCTGTCTTCGGATTCTGTCTCCCTCTCTCTTTGACCCTCCCCTGCTCACGCTCTCTCTCTCTCTCTCTCTGTCTCTCAGAAATAAATTAAAAACATTAAAAAAAAATCTCTTCTATGTCTGACCCAATTGAAGATAGCTAGATTATCATATTTTCTCCTGCGTTCACTTTGTTAGAATGTGTTATTGTGGTTCAAGTATGTGAAGAAAATTAGACTTCACTTGAATGTATAGTAGGAAAAGGAAGGCTATCTTAATAACATTTTCAAATAATTTTGGATGGTCTTTGATACTGCATCAAAGCTTGACAAGTGCTAATTTCTTTCTTTTTTTAAATGTTTATTATTTTTGGGAGAGAGAGAGACAGCAAGCAGAGAGGGGCAGAGAGAGGGAGACACAGAATCAGAAGCAGGCTCCAGGCTCTGGCTGGAAGCCCAGAGCCTGACGCGGGTCTCGAACTCACAGATTGTGAGATCATGACCTGAGCTGAAGTTGGCTGCTTAACCATTTGAGCCACCTAAGTGCCCTGACAAGTGCTAATTTCTTATACGTAAATTGCAATGTGGAATCTAAACCATTATAAGTGAACTTTTGGAATTTAAATTAAAATCTTTGGGGTTTTCTTATACTTTTGAATGGATCTTTAAGCCTTGCATGATTTTGTAACAGGATATATGAGTTATTTAGAAAGTAATGGTTCACTGAACTGCTCAGATCTTCCAAATTTTGACATATTTCATGATACAATATGAAAAAAAATCACATTGGTTAATGTCACCATTTAACCTCATTAGAAAAATTTAAGCATTGGGAAGTTTTATATGTGTGGCAGAGACAAATTTTCCAAAACTAATTATTGCTTGAAAGCCTGTATTTTATCTTCGGCAACAAATACTGCCACTTGTTTTCTTTGAAGTGACAGACCTGCTTTGTTCATTTTTTTTTAAACTTTTTTTTTAATATTTTTATTTATTTCTAGGAGAGAGAGAGAGAGAGACAGCGTGAGCAGGGGAGGGTAAGAGAGAGAGGGAGATACAGACTCTGAAATAGGCTCCAGGCTCTGAGCTGGCAGAGAGCTCTCAGCACAGAGCCCGATGCGGGGTTGAACCCATGAACCGCGAGATCATGACCTAAGCGAAAGTCGGACGCTTAACCGACTAAGCCACCCAGGCGCCCCTGCTTTGTTCATTTTTAAGGAAGTATCTACCAGATATCCAAGTCTGAGTAACCATAGTTTTTTAGTTGTCCTTTCAAGTAAAAATGATAAGTAAGTAGTGCTCAAGAAAAAAGTGACAGGTTCAGCTCAGCACTCAAACAACTGCAAAAGCGATTTTCCTGGAGCCTGCAGTACTTTGTTAGACAGAAGTGCTTTATGTACACTTCCCAGCTTGTCAGGCAGAATATTAAAAAGATGGGTACTCATGGGCCACGATTTGATAAAATTAATAGTTTTTACCGCTTACTAAAGATATCCTTAAATGAAACTCCTTTTTCCTTTGTGAATGTGTAATGTTGAAGAATAACGGTGATTACTGGTACGATTTGGTGCTTCTGCCCTGCTCTATTCTCAAGTACCAGCAGTTTCACTCACCACAGCTCTTGCACCATTAGTAAATGCCAACGTGCTAAGAAAGGCACAAGGTATGTTAGGGTTATTGTGAATATAGATTTGATCTCATAGACCACCTGAAAGGGCCCCAGGACCCCGGCATGGTGAGGAGGACCCCACTTTGAGAATCGCTGCTTTAAGGAGTTGTTTGCTCTTGCTCTTTCTATCAGTTTATTCCTGACCCCCTCCTCCAGCATTCCTCCAAGTGTGCTCTTGGTGGTGGTTCCTCCTCAGCCTAAGCAAAAAAACTTTAATTCCTTCCTTTCCTTATCCCCACATTCAGCCTGCCAGTAAGTTCTGTCTGTTCTCCCTCTAGAATGTGTTCCCGGTCCATCTACGATCTCCCTTCCATCTTTGTCTCTACAGTTGTTGTAAGATGCCAGCCATCCTCTGTTTTGTGGGCCACTGTGATGGCCTCGAAATTGGCCTCCTGGTTTTTGCTGGTGCCCCTTGCCCACCTCTCGCTTGTCGTCTCCTATGGTTTCCTCTATTTGCTCTGTTTCAGATACGTTGATTTTCTTCACATTGCCTGGACACATCAACCCCTTTCTCACTAAGACTTTAGGACTGTGCCGTTCCCTCCGCCCGAACATTGTTCCCCAGCTTTTCTCACATGGCTTATCTCTTGTCGTTCTCCTCTCTTCCAAAGCTTTCTGGGGTACCTCCCCACCACCTGTTGTGTACATCACATTCCTTTCATTTCTTCACAGTAGTCATCATCAGCTGAGTTGACTTGTTTAAGTACTTATTTAATTGTTTGCTGAGAGATGTTAGGTAGACACGTGTGGGGTAGACAGAAGGCCTAGACTGGAGACATATAATTAGGCATCACCAGGGTATAAGTGGTGCTGATTTTACCGAGCTTTTTGAATGGAGCGCTTGGGTGGAAGCCAGGTTTGAGAGCAAAGTGGGTGAGTGGGATGTGAGGAAACAGAAAGCAAAGTCTTGTGTGCAGTTTCACTCTCTTTAGAGGAGAAAAGAGGGGTAGGTTGGGTAATAGCTGCAAGGAGAGTTGAGATTTGAAGTTTTTATGTTTTGTGTTTTTTTGTAAAATGTGTGAGACTTAAGGAGATTTAAATACAGATGTGGGAAGTTCCAGATGAGAGGGAGATGTGAAATGTTTAAGAGAGAGAAGGAGGAGTAGACAAGTGTATCTGTTTTGGGAAATGGGGAGTTGAGAGATTTTTGTCAGAGTGCTGAGCTTAAGCAGGGAGGTGGGACCGAATGGTTTGAAATAGTAATTGGGAGTTAGTAGCAATTGTGGGGAAGGAGGGAGAGAGAATTAGTAGTAGGACTGCTGGCAGAATTAAAGTGCCAATTTGAAGTTGGTGAGCTGTGACCAGTCCTGGAACCAGCCTACCCAGCGTGGTGACTACCTCTGGCACAACTTAGTTTTCTTTGCATTTAATCTGAGTCGGAGGAGATCACTGGTTTCCTCTAGACCAGGGCTTTGCCAGGTAGTTCCAGGAAAAGGCAGGAGGGTAGGTAAGTTTAAAGAACTGGCAGTTGTGTGCGTGAAATGATGTAGTGTGGAATCTGAATAGGGAAGGAAGTGCAGAAAAGAACAGCTAAAGGGTTGGTTCACAGGCTGTTAAAGAATAGCCACTGTATGGGCTCTAGGGCCCGAAGAGGCATAGACATGTCTGCTCGTTTGCCATCGTATGATGAGGGGTCTCTCGCACATAGCAAGTACAAAAAACATCTTTGACAAATGAAGAAATGTTGTTTATGTACTATTAATTTCTTCTCTCCTTGTAAATTTGTCTTTAAAAATCTATCTCTGTTTTTGTCTCAAATGTTTGATAGTTATGCCGATTATTATAAATTCCTTTTTTTGTTCTTTTCAGGCCAAATAGAATAATGAGGCTTCGTTTTAATCATTTTGCTACAGAATGTAGTTGGGACCATTTATACGTTTATGATGGAGACTCCATTTATGCGCCACTAGTTGCTGCCTTTAGGTAAGCTCTGACATACAAGTACCAGTTAATCATTATCTGATTTCTGATATCAAACTTATCTCTTAGATTGCGAACTTTTATTGCTCATCACTTTATTATCACTTACCACCTTTATATCATGGCGAGAGTGCTAGTTCTGGAGTCCTCTGTCACTTGTGTACGAGGCCTGACTTGGTTTCCTATAGATACTGGGTAAGTTTCTGGGCAGAGTCCTGGACCTCTCATTTCAGTTTTTTGGTCTATAAAATTGTAGTAGTATCGAGTTTACCTGCTTCTTGTGGTGGTGGTCAAGTTTTCATTTAAAAAATGTTTTGTGAGTAATATATTGGATATCGTTTCTGTAAAAAATTTAAATCAGGAACCACATTCACTGTGACCATTGTGTTCCTCATTGCACAGGCCTTTGGGAGTTATTTGTTGAATTCAGATAAAGTTTGTGTGTGGGGGGCGTGGGGGTGTGTATTTATGTACATGCATTGATATGGGTGAAGGAAACTTTTTGGAAAAACACACAGAAAATGAACAGCAGTTACCTGTGGAAAATGAGGAAAATACCAATTATGTATCGTGATTTTTTAAATAAGTATATACTCTACTAGTAGTTAAACACGTGACACTAAATGTATGGGGTATTCTGAATTGTTTTGGCATTTTAGTTTTTATTAACAATAAGTAGCTGTGTTGTTTATTATATTTTTGACTGCATGGGAGTTCAAAACCATTCTGTTTTTCTTCCTTTTACTTGATAGATGATTTATGAACTATATTTTTAAAAACTGCGCATCCCTTAGAGAGCCATAGCCGTCAGTTTTTCATCTGCAGCTGACTTTCTGGATTTCTTTCTCTCAGACATTTTATTTCCCTGACTTCAAAAAGAAATCAGTTCAAGTATTTTTTGTATCCCTCACTTGGGGCTGGTCTAGTTGATGGTTCCTGTCAGTGAGGAGGTAACCGAGTAAACAGTACACAGGAAGCCAGACGGCTCAGGAGATCAGGGGACTAATGTGCCCTTGTATTCTCCACTCCCTTTGGCTTAGAATTCTTTCCAGCATATCTTTAAACTGAGAACCGAGGTTATTTTCTGGGCTTCAGAGGTCCACTATGGAGCCGGAGAGCAGGGTAGATAGGTCATGCTAAGCTAAGTAAAATGTCATTGTCCAAGTGTGGGGAGCACTTACCTTTATGCCAGAATTTGAAGAATACCTGAGGTTATAGCAAGGCACCCCAAACTTCAACACAAGCGTGGAAACTGTATGTATTATGTGTTACCATGATAGTACTTGGGGTTCACTTGATACTGAGTTCATGAATCAAAATTCATGGGGTCCCTGTTATGTGCCAGGCGCTGTGCGTCAGCTTGCCAGTGGCCCTTGGGGGAGTGTCAGCCACGCAGCTGTGCGTAACCCCATGGTTCCCCTGGGTTGTGTATCTGTTGTGCCAACACGTGAAGCAACAAGAGCAACAAAACAAGCAGGAGGCTATAATTTTTCTAGTCAGCGACTTCTTTTTAAATTTTTATTTATCTTTTTTTTGAGAGCGAGAGAGAGAGCGCACACGCAAGCGAACGTGAGCAGAGGAGAGAGAGAGAAAGAGAAAGATGGGGACAGAGAGAAAGAAAGAAAATCTTAAGCAGGCTCCATGCTGAGCATAGAGCTTGACACGGGGCTCGATCTCATGACCCTGGGATCATGACCTAAGCCGAAATCAGGAGCAGATGCTCAACCTCGTGAGCCACCCGGGCATCCCTAAGTCAGTGACTTCTGAGAGAGGCCAAAGTATATGCACAGATTAAGAGGAGGATTTTTATGTTTCTCTAACAAAGCTGGTTGATTGATGATATACATTAATTTGTTGGTTATTTTAAAATTTAAACTGACAACACAGTGTGCATTTTCTAAGATGTTAGTGAAAAAGAATGTTTAAAAATCAAAATTTACCTGAAACACAAAACCCCTAAAAGCACCGATTTGCAGAACACCTTGAAAACGACTGCTGAAGCTGCCGTCACAAGGTGGGGGCTGAGGGGTGCTGCTGGGCGGGGGGAGCTCTGAAGAGAGGGTTCAAGCCGGTGGTGATGTGCAGGCAGCCCAGAGTGGTGAGCACCTGCTGGCAGACAGCTCAGCTAGTAAGAAAAGAACCACACGGGATTCAGAAGCTGGGGACTGTTTATCCCGGTTCTGCCCCAGCCTCTGTACGAACCCAAACAGGTTGTGTAAGTGCTCTAGTCCTCGGCTCCTGCTCAAAGTGCTGGTGTTGGACCGTGTTCCCTCTGAGTATGTTGCAAACTACAAAGGTTAATTTGATTCTGAACTGGTCGATCCTATTTATCTTCTACATATTGAATTTCTGAATAAAATTTGTTTATCAGAAAAAAATGTGGTTATCAGACAGAGCTCCATTAGCAGACAAATCTGAGAACCGCTGGAGCCAGGCTCTTGCAGCTGTACCACATCTTGATTTTGTGGTGCGTTCAGTTCAGCAAACGTGTAAACGTAGCACCTTTGTGGAGCAGCTCTTCTGCTGGGATCTGTTGGTAGGAGATGCAGAGGTGGTAGCGGTGATGGGACAGAGAGAATAGTTTTCCCTTCTGAGAACATTCTTCAACAGAACATTATTCCTTTTAGAGGTTTTTTTTTGGGGGGGGAGAATGACATATTGATAAAGCAGTTGTTTAGACCGTGATGAAGGGCTGTTAGAGGAGCCTTGTGAAAGTCCTATGATGTTGTGGTCAGACACAGTGCACAGAGTAGTCAAAGGCAGGCCCCCCTTAGGTTCTCAGGCCTTCCTTTATCAGGTGGAAGTATAGACCCTGGCTAGCCCGCCACTGGGCTCTGACCCCCTCCCCCCGACTTTAAAAATCTGGCTTACCTTCCACATCTCCCAGCCCTTTGAGGAGCATCTAGTTTTGCAAGGAGATGTAGGATTGCTAGTAAACTTGGATAGTATAGTTGGTGAAGTCAGGGTGTGTCCCAGGTGTGTTCACAGAGCCCATGGCTGCCTGGCACTGTTATAATCAATATCTTTGAAGAGCAATTTTCAAAAATCGTTCTAAACAATGGTACTCTGTGTTTAAAATACAAGATTATATAGAACCCCAGGGCAGGTAGTTCTTGATTTGCTCAAGCTGAAAAACACCTGCCACCTGAGCTGTGCCCATGTGTATTTATCTACCTGGGGGCAGGAGGTGGGGGGCGGTGGGAGGCAGCACGGGGTGACAGTTGAATGGCATGCCTGCAGCATCACTTTCTCACCCACGCACTTTCCATTGCTTTGCATCCTGGGTTGAGGCTGCATTTGTATTCATTTAGCCTGTAAAAGTTTATTTTTGTCATAAACCAGTTGTTTTATTTTCACACTGGGAGAAAGTAGCACATTCCAAAGCTGTCATAATGTCGGGTTTTCAAAGTATAAAGAAGCAAATGCCCGAGTCTCTGACAGTGGGGAAGCTGACCCCCTTTCTCCAGCATCATGGTCATCTAGTATAGACTGCCCTCACACCCCTTCTGTGATTCTGTTCTTTCTCCCTCTGCCCTTTCTACCATTCGTCCTGCACACTTAAATGTCCCCACCATATAAATAATAAATATCGTTAGCTGTCACTTACTGAACACCTACTAATGTGAGGCAATGTGTAAGCACTTCACGTGCTGTAATAGTTTGATTCTTATTGTATCACTTCGGGTGGATAGGATTTCTCTCCGTGTGCATTTGAGGACACTGAGGTTCCTAGATGTCCATGGCATGCCCAGTGTGATGTGGAGTGAGGATTGACGTTCCCTCTGGTCCTGAAGCTCATGCTAGGATAAGAGTGCGGGGTCTTCCACGTGTGACTGAAGCCCCAAGTCATTTGGGCCAGTATTTCTTATGGGAAGATTGCTTTCAGCATATCTGTTTCTAAGTGGTCCTCTTATAAGTACTTCCCCATTTAGCATTTCAAGGGATTCTGGTACATAAAACTGACGAAAGCCAATGTCACCTTTTCCAAGATGCCTTCCCTAGCTGCCCTTTTAAAAGTAGCACTTTTTTTTTCTAAAATTTTTTAAATGTTTTCTTTATTTCTGAGAGAGAGAGAGAGACAGTGTGAACAGGGGAGGGTCAGGGAAGGAGGGAGATACAGAATCTGAAACAGGTTCCAGTCTCTGAGCTGGCAGTCAGCACAGAGCCCAACGCGGGGCTCAAACCCACGAACCGTGAGATCATGACCTGAGCCGAAGTCGGACGCTCACCCGACTGAGCCACCCAGGCGCCCTTCACCTTTTTTAAAAAAATCTTTATTTATTTTCAAGAGAGAGAGAGAGAGGGAGAGCGAGCGAGCCGGGGAGGAACACAGAGAGAGGAAGACACAGAATCCGAAGCAGGCTCCAGGCTCTGAGCTGTTAGCACAGAGCCCAAAGCAGGGCTTGAACCCATGAACCGTGAGTTTATGATTTGAACCGATGTCAGACGCTTAACTGACTGAGGCACCCAGGCTTCTGCCCCCCCACCATTTTAAAGTGTATTTCTTTATCTTGAGAGAGAGAAAGAGAGAGCCCGTGCATGCATGCGTGAGCAAAGAAGGGGCAGAGAGAGAGGGAAAGAGAAAATCCCAACCAGGCTCTGCACTGCCAGCATGGAGCCCAATGTGGATGGGGTTCAGACCCACCATGAGATCGTGACCAAAATCGAGAGTTGGATGCTTAACCAACTGAACCACCCAAGGTGCCCCTTTTTTTTGAGAAAGAGAGAGAGAGAGAGAGACGGAACAGGAAGAGCAGAGCGAGAGAGAGAGAATCTTAAGCAGGTTCCATGCCCAGAGCCGGCCTTGAAACCAGGACCCTGGGATCATGAGTTGAGCTGAAATCAAGAGCTGGACACTGAACTGACTGAGCCACCCAGGCGTCCCTGCACCTTTTGTTCTTTCACTGTTTTTTTCTTTTCATAGCATTTATCTCTGCTTGGTGTTACATATACACACCTGTATGTGGGGGTGGGGGATGTTTCTGGGATTATTTGTTGTTTCTCTAATGTGAACTCCATGAGAGCAAGGACTTCTTCACTGTTGTGTTCTGGTACCCAGAGCAGCGTCTCAGGTGCAGTATCAATAAATATGTGTTAGTTGAATACACAGTGCAAATTGCTTCACTGTTTTATAAACCCCGGAGTACCTTTAAAGTACCTTTAAAGACCTAATTCAGTCATTATCGAATGAAAATACTGGCCCCTCTTCCTAATTTTCCACTTCTTTATTCTTCCATTTCATTTTTTTTGTATGCACTTACCTAAATATGTCTAAACGTACACATACTCTAGGCCCATTGTTTTGCAGCTATTTTTTTTCCCTACTTATCGGAATGCCTTGAGGAGCTCCTTGTTAGTTCTGCAGACCTACAGATATGGAATGGTTCATTGATCTGACTCTCTGCAGATGAGCATTTAGGCGGTTTTCTTCTTCTTAAAAAAAAAATTTCTTTTGAATTAGGTCATCACTATACTCCATATGGGGCTTGAACTCATGATCAGTAGTAACATGCTCTACTTGACTGAATCAGCCAGGCGCCCCCTAGGTGGTTTTCAATGTATTGCCATTCTGAATAGTGCTGTAGTGAGAATGGTTGTACGTTCGTCTTTGTGTACACGAGCAAGTGCTAGTTCTACAAAGAACTCAGAATTGCTGGGTCACAGTGGATGACCATCTATGATTGTCATAGGCCCTGAGGGAGTAGTTTGCATGGTATGTGCTTTGTGAGAGCAAGGAGGCCAGTGCAGCTTGGGTAGAGTGAGTGAAGGGAAGAGAGTAGTAATGAGATGTTTGTTCATTGTGCGGGGTTGTGTGTCTGAAGCAGACTGCATAGGGCCTGGTAAGGATTAAGGTTTTCCCTGAATGAGGTGCTGGTGGTGGTGATAGTGAATTGATAATTGGGCAAAAGATGTGAGCATATGGAGAAATGCAGAAGGTAAGTAAACATAGGAAGAATGATTAACCTCAGGAATATGAAAGAAACTCAAAACCATAGTATAAAAAAATCACTTTCCACTTATCAGATTAGCAAGGCTAAAATAGGCCTGGTACTTCTTTCTCTTGGCAGGTGAGGTAGGACAGACCTTTTCATTCTTGATTGAGGAGATTTCAAATTGGTATATGGCTTCTGGAAAGCATATGGATTAAGAGCCTTAAAGCCATCGTTTAGACCCTTTGACTTGATAAATTTTTTTGACTTGGTAATTTTTAACACTCTCCAGACACACAGCAAATACTATTGTGTGCTGGAATCCAAATGAGAGAGGAAATGCTTATGCTGTATTACTTGTAAAATAGAATATAAGCTGTGATAAGGGGATCAGTTAGGCAAAGAAAGTACATCAGAATACTAATAGTTTTCAGATTGTGGGTGTTTAGCAAGTTTATTTATATTTTTACTTTTCATACTTTTCAGTAGTATATATTTGGCATTCATCAACTCAGAAAGTTTGTTAGTTTCTGTGATTTTGAAGGTTTACTCAGTCTTTCAAAGAACCATTATAAACAGTTTTGCATACATAAAAAAGAATAGGGCCATTGATTTCAAATCTCATTAGAAATATAACCCGGGATAAAGGCGAGTGAGCCTAGGAAAGATTCAGACTTGTCCCTCAGAGGATTAAGAACTGGACCCAAAACTAATAGGGTAGCACTTATGTGTTTTCACACGAATTTGCCCCTCTTCCTGGAAGTGTTTTTGTTTTTTGTTTTTTAGTTATAAGGATGAATTCCAGTTTTGAATTTGTATGCCGCCATATGACGTGCCTGTTGAGTATGCTTCCCCTTTATATGACATGTGTTTCCATTTCAGCGGCCTCATTGTTCCCGAGAGAGATGGCAACGAGACTGTCCCTGAGGTTGTTGCCACATCAGGTTATGCCCTGCTGCATTTTTTTAGTGATGCTGCTTATAATTTGACTGGATTTAATATCACTTACAAGTAAGATATTTATGTCTAATCTTCGTGATTTTATTAAGGGACTATACTCTTTGTTTTAACAATAATAATGACTAACATAGTTGAGGGCTGCCAGTGTGCCAGGCATTGCACTAAGCAGTTTGCATGGATTTTCTCATTTAAAGTTCATTTAAAAACTCCTGAGGTATGGGCAGTATTTGTTCACTTGTTCTGTAATTGAGGAAACTAGTGGGAAATGGTAAAATACATTATCAGAGTGGTGGGACCACAGTTTCAACCCAGCTCTAACTGCTTTTGAGCTTCTCTTGGAAGAAAGGGGCATTTTTTTGCTAATGGATAAAAACATTGGAGTTTTTTGCTGAGTGTGATTTAACAAATGTTACTCGTTTTCATGTACTCAGAGGTTGGCCCATTGATGAGAACTTCCTTGAGGTTACAAAAGAAATGTAGACAACAGACTTAGGCAGCTTTGGGAATTTGTTATGATAGGAAAGAGGCTAACTTTTGGCTTTTCTTTTTTTCCCCTCTTAAGAAATGATTGTTTTCATAAGTAGTTAAATTCATAAAGCACCCTAAGCAAGGGGTTTGTGCTGAAGAGCTTCTGTGGCCCACGGAGCTTAAGATACTGTTTGGCGTTTTATAGAATAAGTTTGCCAACTCCTGGCAGAGGCAGTAAGCTCCATGTTATAACTGTTATGCAGGATTCTGCTGCACCCTGTTTTCTCAGGGTCTCCAGATTCTTGCAGGCCTATTAAGAGCCAGCTCTACCTTGTCTGATATGGTGATTTAGCTTTTCAGGTGCCCGGGCTTTGTGACTTGGCTGCCCGGGCAGCTTATCACATTACTAGCAAGGTGATTTTTAGTGACTTAGGCATAAAGGCTAGGTTGAGGGGAAAGACTGATGAGTCTGGTTGTGTACAAGTGAGATGTGTAAGCAAGACATTGCTATTCAGATCTAGGGCCCAGAAGAGCTGCCAGAGCTGGGGATATCATCTGGGAGTCACTGGCACGTGGGCAGTGACTCACTGGCTTATGGGGCCGAGTGCACAGTAAGGAGAGGGGCAGTAGAGGCAGCTAAGAGACAGAGGAATGCCAGTGAGCTGTTTATTACAGAAGCTCAGAAAAGAAAGTTTCAAGGAGGGAACTGACAGCTATGAGACTGGGTAAGCAGAGGGGGCCCTAGGTGATCCTGACTGAGGAGGGCAGGGTCCGGGGCCCTGTGGGGGCACAGTTCACAGAGGAAGGTTAGAATGCCATGGCATTGAGTGGGACATTCAGCTCTAAAGTGGTGGGAGAGGTTTAGGCCAGAGCTTTTCTTTTCTTTTTCTAAGTTTTTATCTACTTAAGTAATCTCTACACCCAGAGTGGGGCTCAAACTCACAACCCCAGATCAAGAGTCAGATGTTCTTCTGACTGAGCCAGCGTGGCACCCCCTAGGGCAGGGCTTTTCAAACTTCACATGCACTGAGATCTCCTGAAGGGCTTGTTAAGATGCAGATTACTGGACCCTACCCAGAAACCGTAGTTCAACAGAGCTGGGGCCCAAGAATCCAAATTTCTGATAAGCTCCTGGGTAATGCTGCTGCTGCTCTCTGCCCATGGCCCACACTCTAAGTAGCATTGCTCTTGCCATTCAACTAGGCCCCGTTCTGGGTTCCCTGTAGGTTCTTAGACAGTCTTCGCTCTAGTAAGGCCCTTCATAATAGCAGCCTTGAGGGAGAAGAGAAACTCCGGGGAGGGAGCACCCCTGGAGGGGGGAGCGGTTCAAGCACCCCTTGACATTAGAAACCCTTCACTCCATCACTGGAGGGCTCTTCTAGCTCTGTGACCAAGAAACGCATGTTATTCTTAGCCTGATTGGGGTAAGGGAAGCCTTGATCTCTCCTGGAGAGCAGAATTCTTACTTTTTTGTTAAGTGAAGGAAGGTTGAGGTTATCCTAAATTTTATTAGCTTCTTGGTTTCAAGATCTCTGTTCTTTAAAAAGGAGTCCTAAACCAGTTTAGGGGTTCCAGACCCTTTGAAAAACCAAATAAAATGGTTCTTCTTTATTCCCAGAAGAATGCCTAGAAACACATACATAAAACATTGTTATTCTTTTTCCAGGTGTCCTCAGATTGCCCTGAATCCTAGCTTTGGGCTGACTGTAGCTGGGGACCCTTGAGACTGGTTACCCACAGCTATTTAGGTGTTCCCCCATTGTCTTTTAGAAGAAGAAAAAAATAGTTATATTTTATTTTCACACAAACTGACATTTCATTTTATTTCTGAGTCAACTTGTAAGCACAGATAATTAAACCAATTTTTCTCATTATTCCAGTTTAGACATACAAGCGATGTTTTGATACACTGTTACCTGCCACTTTCACTTTTCAGAGATTAAAAAATGAGGTTTGTGTTTTGAGATTTTATGTAACTGTATTTATTTATTTAGAGAATGAGAGCACAAGCAGGTGAGGAGCAGAGAGAAGAGAGAGAGAATCTCAAGCAGGCTACGCTCCATTAGCACAGAGCCTGATGTGAGGCTTGAACTCACGAACCTTGAGACCATGACCTGAGCTGAGATCAAGAGTCAGACGCTTACCTGACTGAGACACGCCGGCGCTCCTATTTATTTAATTTTAAAGTTTATTTACTTATCCTGAGAGAGAAAGTGAGTGCAAGAACAAGTGGAGGAGGGGCAGAGAGAGAGGGAGAGGGAATCCCAACCAGGCTCCATGCTGTCAGTGTGGAGCCTGATGCAGGGCTTGAACCCAGGAACTGTGAGATCATGATCTGAGCCAAAACCAAGAGTTGGACACTCAACCAACTGAGCCACCCAGGCGCCCTGAGATTTTATGTAACTTTAAAGAGTGCTCACAATTAATTTTTGGCACATGAGATAAACCTCTGCCTGAGGGTACCGGAGTGGGGAAGTTGAGGTATAAGGGAGGCTGTTATATTTTCCCTCCTGTAGTTCAAAAGGCACTAAGGGGTTACTCCCTTCTCTTCATCATTTCAGCAACATAGATTCTGGGTATGTGCCATTCCCTTGTATACGGTTAGTAAGTGTATCAATAGGAAATTCTAATTTGACATAATTTTGGTGTAAGGCATAGGGGTGCTCACACCACCATGGCAGTGATTTTACTACAGTTTTATTTTAGGCCTTTTATAAAAACAAAATGTGATTGTTGTAGCCATTTCACCATAAGTCCAATCTGAAATTTAAACTTTATTTTTTATAAACTGTTGCCTTGCAGAGGCCTTTTTCTTTTAGAAAATTTAAAAAAGTATCTATCTGTGTATTTATCTGTCTATTTGTTTCTCTATTTGTTTATCTATCTATGTACCTACCTACCTGTCTATCTGTCTACCTGTCTGTCTGTCTGTCTGTCTATCTATTTATTTAGAGTGTGAACAGGGGAGGGCAGAAAGAGAGGGAGAGAGAGAGAATCCCAAGCAGGCTCTGCACTGTGAGTGTGGAACCTGATGTGGGGACCCGAGCCCATGACACGACCGGAGCTGAAACCAAGAGTTAGATATTCAACTAGCTGAGCCACCCAAGTGCCCCAAAGGCCTTTTTCTTGATAAAGATGAAACTGAAGCTTCACTTCTGTGTTTGTATGATTACAGAGAGACAGTAGGCACCTCTTTCTAGAGGCCTACAAGAATGTCATTTAGCTTTTTTAACCAAATACTTGGTGTACTTATTCGGCTTACTGGAGTTTGAAAAGTAGGCATACACATATCTTCCATTATAATTATATATGGACTATTAAAATACTGTATAAAAATATTTATTGAATTTTATTACAAATATATAATAAACTGATATTTGTAGGTGTGAACATTAATTAGCTTTTTAAAAGTTTATTTATTTTGAGAGAGAGAGAGTACAAGCAGGGGAGAGCCAGAGTGAGAGAATCCCAAGCAGGCTCCACACTGACAGCACAGAGCTCAACGCAGGGCTCAAACTCAGGAACTATGAGATCATGACCTGAGCTGAAACCAAGAGTCGGATGCTTACCCCACTGAGTCACCCAGGTGCCCCTAATTAGCTTGTTTTTCATAGCTGATTCCTGATTTTCTGACATGCTTTGGTGCAAAATTTCTTTTTAGTTTTCTATATAGGCCTTAGAAGAAATTTATGCTCTTAAAAGTATCTTGATAGTTCAGTTATTGCCCCCTTCTTTAAAATCTGAATTCTGTTTCAGAGTGCTGTCAACACAGTTATCTTAAAGTCCTGTTATTACTGAGTGAAACTGATCCTCTCTTTTCTTCCATCTGACATGAGTAGGTAAACGTACTGAGGAATTTTAAATACACCAATCCCAGCAATAATCTTAAATTCTCTGAGCTTTCAGAGACTACCCAGAGGTATATGTACCATGAGGATGTATAGGGTATTCTTAGCAGTTTGTTTCATCCTCTTCCTCCAAACTTGCAAGCTCATTTCCTAATGCTCATCACTGTTGGGGCCACCAAAAACAGCATAGTCATCCCACCCTTGAGAAGCTAAGCCTGGATATTTTGTAAGAATTTCTTCTCCCTACATAAGTTTTTTAACTTGTCTCTTATGGGAATCCAGCAGGGTTGATACGCCCTAGTCATGCAGTGTTGAGTGACCCCACTTAGGCTGAAAGGTAAGTTATGCTCGCAAATGAAACTGGAGAGCCAGCGATATAGGTAGTTTTAAACCTTGTGTAGGCAGGAGTTCTGCTAAATTAACTGAAGTGTTGCTTTGTGTTGATTTAATTTCCCCCACTGTTTTTATAGTTTTGACATGTGTCCGAATAATTGCTCAGGCCGAGGAGAATGTAAGATCAGTAATAGCAGCAACACAGTCCAATGTGAATGTTCTGAAAACTGGAAGGGTGAAGCGTGCGACATTCCTCACTGTATACATGACTGTGGTTACCCTGATCGGGGCATTTGCAATTCAAGTGACGTCAGAGGATGCTCCTGCTTCCCAGACTGGCAGGGTAGGAACTTCTATTTTTGCTTTTCTTCCGGTTTACCACACCTTCCTAGTTCGTTACGTTCTACGTTGACTTTATTCCTTGCATGTATTCCATGTACCGCATTTACGTTTTTGTGTCTATTCAGATTCTTACCAATCTTTGCATTTCACAGATGTGCGGTGGTGGTCTCTTTAGAATTGTGGAGGGGGTTGATATTCTTTGCAGTTCATTCTTGAAAGTTGGAGAGCTTGGTCTCAGCCTTAAGAACACATAGCAGGGAACCAAGCTGGGAGGTAGGACAAGAACTATCAATAATGGGATCTCTCAGAAACTTATAGTAAACTCCACACAATTGGAGTCTGTTCTATAACAGAACCCTAAAACAGTCAGCGAGTGGTATTCTCTTCAGATAGAGATTATTAAAAAAATTTTAGCAAAGTCTTTCAGGGATATGTGATAACAGCTGTTACTAATTTAGTAATTTTCTTTATACGTTTACCCTTTCTTCAGAGCACTTTTATTTTGAAAGGAAATGTGCTTGTTTAAATGCTTTGTGCGGTTTGGCCTTGGCCGCCATCAAAGAGTTAAGTAATTGAAGTATTTGAGCACCTCCCGCTGTGCACAACTCGAAGCAGGAGCCACACCCCCTAACAGTGGAGTTTCTTGATTTTCCAGGAAATGGATAGTTTCTTTTATTACTCCCGGGACTAGTCTTTACATTTTTAGCCTGAAAGTTTTTCATTTGAATTAATAATTCCTATCCGGTCTTTCCTCTGAGAGCTGCTTAAGCAAGTATTTCGTTACTAAAAAAATCCTAACCTGGATATGGTCAGGTCATAATTAGAAAAGTGTGTGGTTTTGAATTTTACTGGCGATGACTCTTGGTCACCAGCTTTGAGTGAATTGAAAGGACTTTGATATTTAGATGCTAAAGGAAAGCTAAGTATTCTTTAGATATTGTTACATTTCTATGATTAAAACTTGAAATGCAGTCATTTTAAAGCTGCATTTTGTGAAGCTAACTTATTCTATTTTAGGTCCCGGATGTTCAGTTCCTGTACCAGCTAACCAGTCATTTTGGACTCGAGAGGAATATTCTAACCTGAAGCTCCCCAGAGCCTCTCACAAAGCTGTGGTCAATGGAAATATAATGTGGATTGTTGGAGGATATATGTTCAACCACTCAGATTACAACATGGTTCTAGCGTAAGTTGTTTTAAACTTTTTTGCAAGAAGCTGACTAGTTTTCCATTTCAAAAGTTTATAAAGTGGAGATAAAAAGAAAAGAAATCATCAGTAATTCGATTACCTAGAAAATCCCTGTTAATATTTTGGTAGTGGAATTCCAGAATATGTTTTTGAAGTTGGGAGTCACAAAGAATGCGTTTTTACCATAAGCAATAATTCATCTTTTCTAGATACCACCTCTCATAATTTGCCTCAGGTACACATAGGGGGCTCTATAAAAATTGGGGGTTATTTTACCTCTTATTTTCATGAGCACATCTGTAGGTCACCTGGTTTGAATTTATAGTTTTCTAGAGGAATTTATGCCATTGTCTAATACTTGACCCAGTGTTCAAGGTCTAATGGTCCCATGCTGTTCATCTTGAAAGGAGAATATATATTATCACAGTGGAGTTAGGAAGTTAGTTATGAAGATTGACTTTGGGGAGAAATTTATGAACACCTACTTATGCTGATTTTGTGCCCTGGAAATTTTTTCTAGGCATTTTTTATTAATGAAGATTATCAAAAACCAGCATCTGTTCTTTAAGGGATTCTGGAACTATATGGCAGCAGTGGCATAGTTTCTGAATCCCCCAAGTAGTCATTAAAGCACACAGACAACTAGGATAGCAAAATGGAAAAAAACACATTAGAAACAAAACAAAGCTTGGTCAGAAGGTGTCTACACAGATGGGTGGAGCTAACCTAGGGCCAGGTCTAGGACCTGAGTGGTATTGCCATCTTTGCCGGAATAAGCCAAGGGGAGCAAAGGACTGACTGACAGGTTCCAGGATACCTAGAAGAAGCTGCTTTGAGACCAGCAGCTGGAACTGGAAAGATTTACGTAATTCTAGCACTGGGGAAGCACAAGGGATCTGTAGTAGGATCTGAAGGGGCTAGAACCGTGTATGCCTTATTAGCTCTCAAAATGAACTAGACAGGATCTCGTTGCAGGAGAAAGTTCCACACTGAGGAGAAACCGTTGGGAATAGAATTCATATTGAACAGGACAGTGACAGTAGAGAAAAAGGAAAAGGGTGTCCAGATAACAGTCAGGGAAGGGAACAGAGCCAGGATCATTCAGCAAGTAAGCTGCCATGTGTTTGAACACTACATTGTTAGCAACAGAAGAGTGAGCTGGAGAGCTGAGAAATTAGGAAGACAGTCCTAACCCAGGCCTCTCCTGTACAAGCTCAGGAAAAAACTAGTTTTACTTAAAATTGAGCAACAGAAAAACAGTATGAATTTATTAATGACATAGAAAAATAAAAGGTAAAGTAACAGAACAAAGAGATCAGTGGGTAGAATAACCCCCCTTTGTACTTGAAAGCGTACTAGAAAAATACACTCACGAAACTGATGGAAATGGAAACTTACTATTCCCACACAAGCTAAAATACAGTAAGAAAATGATGCAAGACATGAAAGAACAGTAGAATCAGAAGTAGAAGAATCCAGGAATGAGTTGATAGAAGTTAGGAAAGAATTTTAAAATAATCTCAGAATTGAAGATGAGCCTAGGAGGAACACAGAGCACAATAGAAACTCCTTTAGTAATAGAATATGAAAAAGGAAATTATTAAAAATCACAAACGAATGAAGGTAAGTACAGTTAAAAACCCTGGACACTATGTATAAAACAAACACGAGAAAACTGTGAAAAGGAGAGAGAAGGCAGTCTGGCTAGGGACCTCAGGACCCAAGGAATGACGTAATGGTAGATTCCAGGGGTTTTCTTTTTGTCTCATATATCCCAGATTTGATGTTGGAAAAAGCAATCTGGAAATGCCAGTAGGCACGAGCTGGAAAAGTCCCAAGAAAAACCCCACCTGTTCTCTCTAGCCTAATGACTAGGAAGAGGTTAGCGTAGCAAGATAGCAAGACAGAAAACTTTCAGACACAAATAACTACCCTACTGCAGCCAAACACCACAGAAAGAACCGTGGCCCCACCCTCATCCCTGTCAGCGAAGTCTGAATGTAGAGTCTAGATTTCCGTTCTTGCCAGGGTGTGGTGAGGTGCTGCCACCCCCCCACCCCCACCCCACTGCCATTGTTAGAGAAGGCCAAGTAAGGAGCTGGGACTTTCTTCTCTACCCGGCAAGAATGAGGCCTTCCCAACCCGTGTGATGTCAGTGGAGACCTTGTGGGGAGCCTGGCAATAACAGCAGTAATGAGTTGGCCTTCCCTCTTACCCACTCGGGGGACAGAGGAGACCTGCTGTAACAGTAGATTTAAATAAGATCCAGAGGCTCATGGCATGATACCCAAAATGTTCAGATTCAATTGAAAATCATTTCTCATGCACAGAGCCAGGAAAATCTCAACTCAAATGAAAAGAAAAAAAGCAATTGAGATGCTGACAGCAGGATGACATTGATAATAGAATTATCTGACAGGATTTTAAAGCAGCCTTTATAAAAATGCTTCAGTGTACAATTATAGACACTCTTGAAACAAATGAATAATAGGGTCTCACCAAAAAAATCGAAGAAAAAAGGAAGAATAAGATGGAAATTTTAGAACTGAAAAATAGAGTAACCAAAACAAAAATCTCAGTGGACAGCGTCAACACCAGAATGGAGAGGACAAAGGAAAGAGTCCGTGAACTTGAAGGTAGAACAACAGAAATCCTTCAGTCTGAACCAGAGAGACTATAGAATATTTTAAAAACGAACAGAAACTCAAGAGACCTGTGGACTATAACAAAAAAATCTTAAATTTCTGTCAGTGGGGGAGTCCTGGAGGGAGAAGACCAAGTGAGAATGTCTGAAAAAGTATTTGAAGAAATAATGGCTGATAATTGCCCAAATTTGGCAGAAGACATGCATGTACATGCAAGAAGTTGGGCGAACTCCAGCAATCCTGGACTCCCACAGGGGTTCACAGTCCATTGGTTTTGCCCCAGTCTTTCTCATTCTCCTGCTCAGGCATCATATTTCTTTTCATTTTTCAAATCTCTACCACATTGTCTCCTGTTTTCATTCTCAGCTAGTGGCCTTGCTCCCTGTTTCTATTTTGAAAGGTAAAGTTTATATGAAGAGAATTTCCACGAACTCCCACTACCACATGTAGCCATTATGCACATCTATGCTCGTTTATTCTGTCTTCTGTTTCTCTGCATCAGCACTGTCTGGTGGAGCGCTGTCATGTCACTAGCCCTGTGTGGTTATTGAGTGCTTGAAACGTGGCTAATGGGACCAAGGAGCTGAATTTTAAATTTTCTGTTTTAGTCCTCCTCTTACTTAATCTGTCACCAACATTTGATAAAACTAGTCCATCCCTCCTCTTTTAAACATTTTCTTCCTTTGACTTCCGGGGCTCTACAATCTCCTGATATTTGTTCCAACTACTTATTCCTTCTCAGCCTCTTCAACGCACTGACTTCTGAATGACGACGTGCCCCAGGGCTCAGCTCGTGGTCCTCTTCCGTGAGAGCGTATGTTCACTCTCCTGGTGATTGCATGTAATATCTCGGCCTTTATGTTGGTGACCCCCAAATTTATGTCTGCATCCTAACCTTTTCACCTGAACCCTTATCTCCACCTCATTATTTGACATCTCAATCTTTTGGCTATCTCAGAGGCATCTTAAACAGTATGTGTCCAGAACTGATCTTCCTCCTGGTCAGCTCTTGTCCCAGATGACTCTATCTCAGTTAATGACCACTTCATACTTCTATTTGCCTAACCCCCAAATTTTGGAGCCATTCTTAACTTCTTGTTTTTTCATATCCCATATCAGTATATATATATAGTTATCTCTTGCTGCATAACAAAGAACTATAAATTTAGCAGCTTAGAACAGCACACATTTATTACCTCATAGTTTCTGCTGGTCAGGAGTCTGGGCATGGCTTAACTGAGTGCCCCACAATCATAGTGTCACCTAGCCTTTGTTCTTATCTAGAGGTGCAGCTAGGGGAAAGTTCACTTTCAACTTCATTAGGGCTGTTGGCAGAATCCATTTCCTTGTGGTTATAGCCCTAGCTTCTTGCCAGCTGCCCTCAACTCCTAGAGGCCTCCCACAGTTCCTTATCACTTTGACTTTCCTAGTGTGGCTCCTTGCTTCATTAAGTCACAGGGAGTCTCTCTAGACTGAGTCTGCTGGTGAGACAGATGTCATGGAGATGACATGTCATCATTTTTGCCATGTACCATTGGTTAGAAGCAAGTCATAGATCCTGCCCACATGTGAGGAGAGGGTAAGGTATTATACATGGGCATGATGGGCATAAATACCAAGAAGCCAAGATCATGAAGACCACCACCCCAGTTTCTGTCTGCTACTGTATGTCAGCAGATCTTGTTAGCTCTGCTTTTAAAATCTGTCCTCACTCTATTTTTTACTGTTTCTAGTGCCAGTGCCCTGAGAAGTAAGGTAAAATTAAAAGTGTGAAAGTGATTGTCCCTTCTGCTGATACTAGATACTGTGAGAGTTGAGTATTCTACCATTGATGTGATTTTTATCCTTGTATTTGGCATCATCCTCTCTCAAAGCAAAGCATCCGGGAATGATTCTGATACTTACTCTCCTTCATGTCCTCATATCTTAATCTCCTATGAAGCCCACCAAATACATGTTATATTCCCTCTTTCCTCTCTGTGACCAGCCTGCTGCTATCTCTCACATAGGCTTTATCAGTAGATTCCTAGCAAGTCTGTCTGTTTTCATGCATTCCTCTTAATCCATTTTTTAAATACCAACTGGGATGGTTTTTTAATATAATACAGATCATATCGTTTACTACCTTAAAACCTATCGGTGGGTTTTCCCATTAGACCTAATGGGCCTACTTGATCTGACCACCACTTACCTTCCCAGACTCAACTTGTTCCTTTCCTGCCTCACCAGCCTTCTGTGTTTACCTAAAACTCTCTGTGTGTATCCTTCTTTTAATGGCCTTTGTGCCACCCCTCCCTCACTCCAGATTCTTCTTGCTGTTGTATCCCAGGACTGTTTTCTTCTCACCCTTTA